TATTTTGAAAATAATGAGTTACATTTGTAGGGTTTTTAATCTTTATTGTGTCTTTTATCATTTAACATATTCAATTTTATTTAATTTGCTCAATTACAGCCTGATTTTTTAGATGAACATAGTGATGTCTGTGAAAAAAAATTTCTGCTGTTTTTTTTTTTTTCCGCCTTTCGGTTTTTGTTCACGATATATTACAAATAATGTGTTAGATTTCTAGGGTTTTAATCATTATAGTCTTGTTTATAATCAGCTGTGTTCAATTTGAATTGATTTATTCAATTTGAGCTTCATTTTTTAGATTCAATGACTGTTGTCTGTGAATAACTACGTTTTTTTTTTTTTGCTCAATTTAATCGATTTGATTTAATTTATTGATGATAATGTATTCATAATTTAGGATTTTGATTCATTATATTGTTGTTTATCAAAAAATGTACTCAATTGGATGTAATTCATTCGCTTGGAGGTGGATTTTTTAGTTAAAATGGCTGATGTAAGGTGGCTCTGTAAAGAACAAAATTTTTTTAATTTTTTTTTTTGGTAATCCATGATCGAATATTTTTTGTAATCCATGATCGAATTTTTTGTAATCCATGATCGAATTTTTTGTAATCCATGATCGAATTTTTTGTAATCCATAATCGAATTTTTTGTAATCCATAATCCATGATCGAATTTTTTGTAATCCATATTATTCACATATCGAGTCCCAACAGCAACAGGGTAGGAATGAGCACGACAGCGTAGGTGAGCATGAAGGATGGACAAGCTTCGGGGATTTTGGATTGAGAACACAACAGAACACTAACACTCGGGGATTTGAATAGAGTCAGATGCTTGCTAATATCTCGATGATTCGTTTTTAGATTGAATCAATGAAATATCAAACGAATTTAATCAATGGCACCAGCATGATCAAGAAGAAGAACATCGTCGTCTGTCATTTTATTTTTAGATCATATGTTACTAATTGTATGTTTTATTATCGTCTATGTATGTTGATATACTTATTCCATGATAATTCTATGTTTATCTTTTTGTATGACATAAATTAAATGGTAAATAGTAGTTCATGCAGGGAAAGAACATATCAATATTCGTATATTCATGCAAAGAAATGAAAATTCTTGATGGAGTACCCTTTTTTTTTATTGAATTCCTTAAAAATATTTATAATGAATTTTAATAATTTTTTCGGATTTTTTTGAAGCTTTAATCTGACCGATTCACCCCATCCAAATCGCCGATTCGGATCAATTTTTGAAGTGCCCGATCCGGGTCATCGATCGGTTTTTTAAACCATTAGTTTAGAGTATTGGCTCTATGTAAACTTTTCCTTTTTTTTTTTTTAGAAGGAAGTCACAATTACTAACTTGGCGCCTACAAATTTGAAGGAATTTTTTTTTTTTTTAGAATTTTGTCTTGAAACACAAGAGTCACCACCTCCCAATTTGAAATTTGACCGACAAAAATAATCACAACCACCCAAATGGACAGACAAATAATCATAACTACCCAATTAAATAAATAATTTATTGCTCAAATGGACAGACAAATTATCATAACTACCCAATTAAATATTCATAACTACCCAATTAAATAAATAACTTATGGCTCTCCTTATCAAATAGCCTCTTCATACAGTTCATCTACCATTAAAACTAACTAATTTACACTTCTCCTACCATTAAAACTAACTCCTACCACTAAAACTAACTAACTTACACTTCTTCTTAAATAGCCTCTTTTCTACACACGTCATCTCATTCTTACCCCTTCTAGTAATGGAATTCCACAGTATATCAAAGGACGTTATCTAATTACCCCTTTCCATTAATGGAATTCCACAGTAAAAGACCATTTCCACAGTATAAGACCATTTAGATTTAGTGCCCATTTCATTAATGGATTTTCGCAGTTCAGGACCATTTAGTATTTGTGATGGGTGGGGGCCGCGCGAACGCGTACCCCCCTACCACAAATTATGACGTGCATTCTCCCACTTGGGGAGATGCTAGGGGGACCCACCCTCTAAGTGCAATGAAGGCAGCCACCCTAGGCCATCGGCCCACATGATCACCGATTGACCCCGTCCAGGTAAGTATGCTTTTGAGCTTCACCTCCCCTTCTTTTTATACAGACCTCTAAGCATTAACTTATCTTTTTCTTTCGATGTGGGACCAAATGATGTTCCAAACCAACAAAGCAAGAACAATTTTCAATCCCTCTTCAACTCCTCCCAAGGGACACCAAAAGCAATAGAATTCTCTCTCTCTCTCTCTCTCCCTCTCTCTCTCTCTCTCTCTCTCTCTCTCTCTCTCTCTCTCTCTACTCTCTCTACTACTAC